TCTTTTATCCAATGTTACACCTATTGCTATTAGTATCAAAACTGCAACTCTCATTTAAAAAAAAAAAAAAAATTTAATTTGATGTATTTAGCTACTAGCAGGAACCTTATTGAGATCAGTAAATGAATGCTCGCCATGCTTCATTTTTTTAACCCCTTGCTTACTAGCTCACTTGGTACTTGTTCTTTTCTTATGCCACTTCTTCTTGGCTCTCTTTTACAAACTCATCCAGTTCTTGTATTTTTTTTGTATCCCTCCATTCTCTCATTTTATTCCCAGACAGATTGTAAGCTCGTTTGAGCAGAGCCTTCTTCTCTGGTCTCCATCATATTTTGTATGTAAACTACTCGTTGTCAATTATGCCCATTTTATAATGAATTGTAAAGCACTCTGGAATATGTTGGCGCTATATAAATGCCAATAATAATATCAATATATGTATTTTTTTCAGTATGTTTTTTTGCTTATTTACCTTCTCAGCCACGAGAAGGTCTTAATGGTAAGGTATATCTTGTTGCTGATGATACTAAGATATGTAACAAGGTTGATGTTCCAGGAGGGATAAGCCAAATGACAAATGATTTAGGTAAACTAGAAAAATGGTCAGAATTGTGGCAACTGACATTTAATGTAGATAAGTGCAAGATAATGCATCTTGGACGTGAAAACCCAAGGGCAGAGTACAGAATATTTGATAGAGTCCTAACCTCAACATATGAGGAAAGGGATTTAGGGGTAATTATTTCTGATGACTTAAAGGTAGGCAGACAATGTAATAGAGCAACAGGAAATGCTAGCAGAATGCTTGGTTGTATAGGGAGAGGTATTACCAGTAGAAAGAGGGAAGTGCTCATGCCATTGTACAGAACACTGGTAAAACCTCACTTGGAGTATTGTACTCAGTACTGGAGACCGTATCTCCAGAAGGATATTGATACTTTAGAGAGAGTTCAGAGAAGAGCTACTAAACTGGATTACATGATAAAACTTACAATGAAAGGTTAAAGGATCTTAACATGTATAGCTTGGAGGAAAGACGAGATGGGGGATATGATAGAAACATTTAAATACATAAAGGGAATCAACACAGTAAAGGAGGAGACTATATTTAAAGAAAGAAAAACTACCACAACAAGAGAACGTAGTCTTAAATTAGAGGGGCAAAGGTTTAAAAATATTATCAGGAAGTATTACTTTACTGAGAGGGTAGTGGATGCATGGAATAGCCTTCCAGAAGTAGTAGAGGTTAACACAGTGAAGGAGTTTAAGCACACATGGGATAGGCATAAGCCTATCCTAGCTATAAGATAAGGCCAGGGACTAATGAAAGTATTTTCAAAATTGGGCAGACTAGATGGGCCAAATGGTTCTTATCTGCCATCACATTCTATGTTTCTATGATCACATGAACTGCCATTTAAAAATAAATTAAAAAGGAAGACTGGAGTGCAAAATAGATTTAAAAAAAATAAAAAGGTAGAAATATGGTAGGAGTGTTGCTGGTTTGCAAAAATGTAACTTTAAATTGAGAAGAGAATAAAAAGATATTATAGAATGCCATATAAAATTCAGAAGAACCTTAAAGGGACACTATAGTCACCTGAACAACTTTAGCTTAAAGAAGCAGTTTTGGTGTTTAGAACATGCCCCTACAGCCTCACTGCTCAATCCTCTGCCATTTAGGAGTTAAATCCCTTTGTTTATGAACCCTAGTCACACCTCCCTGCATGTGACTTGCACAGCCTTCCATAAACACTTCCTGTAAAGAGAGCCCTATTTAGGCTTTCTTTATTGCAAGTTCTGTTTAATTAAGATTTTCTTATCCCCTGCTATGTTAATAGCTTGCTAGACCCTGCAAGAGCCTTCTGTATGTGATTAATGTTCAATTTAGAGATTGAGATACAATTATTTAAGGTAAATTACATCTGTTTGAAAGTGAAACAAGTTTGTTTTTTTTTCATGCAGGCTCTGTCAATCATAGCCAAGGGAGGTGTGGCTAGGGCTGCATAAACAGAAACAAAGTGATTTAACTCCTAAATGACAGTGAATTAAGCAGTGAAATTGGAAATGATCTATACACTAAAACTGCTTTATTTAGCTAAAGTAATTTAGGTGACTATAGTGTTCCTTTAACAAAATCTCTTCGTTGTGGTTTGTAATAACACCATGGAAATGCACATCCTTACAAGAAGACTGTCATACACTTTTACATATTTCAGTTTCCATTTCCTCATTTATTTCCACCTATACATTGTGCTAGCGAAATCAAGAGCAAATGTATAGATAGCCAAGAAAATAAGGGTCAAATTGTGCTCATCTTCCGACAGACTATAGGCATAACCCACGAAGACAATGTCTGTCATGTAGTGAGACCACCTGCATATCCTCCTTCATGGAAACCAGTCCAAGACTTTCCTAAACAGAGGCGGTGCTGAGAGATATCTCCACGCTCACGAAGGTGGGCTCATGGCAGTGCTGGAAAGGTTCAACAGGAGGTGAGTATATTTAAAAAATGGATGAAGCTCCATTTGAACAGATGAAATAAAGACATTTTTAGTAAGTATTAATATAATAGTTTTTATTTAGAGACTTTTTAAAACAGGAGTACAGGTTCACTTTAATACTTTACATTAGTCTATTCCGAGGTACCCTTTCACCTATCCATCTGCATCTCCATATACATAATGTATAGAAACAGAGTTGCTCTCATTATAAATGTTGAGATAATATCAACGCATGTAATATTCTATAGCTATAAAACACAAAGATCAAAATCCAGATGTTTCACCATTTATTTTGGAATGATTAAAAATCAATTAAAATAAAAAAATAATTGTTTTTGTCTTTTAACTGATTTTATTTTGTGGTGTGAAAGTGAAGCTATCAATCACAATATGTATGGATTACAAGGTCTGATATTAAACTTTAATGCATATATTGTGCTAGAAAGCATCAGTGAATGTATAATTTACACGTTATGCATATCAGAAATTATGAACTCATGCTTCCACTGGGAAAATGTGGTTTGAAAGAGGTATCCACACACATACAGAACTCATGCCCTCATGCCCTTTTGTAATTACCTAAAAAAATACCAAATTTGCTTTTCTAGGTCACAAATTGCATCAAGGTTGGAACTGGTGACCTGTAGCTTCTACAGTCTGGATAGCACTACAGGTGGTTCTCGTTTTGCGACCTACCTGTTTTATGACGGCTCACACTTACGACCAGCTCTCTCGCGGGGTGGCAAGTGAGAAATGGAAATTAGAATTAGAGGATTTCCCTTACCTGCTGCATTCAACATTTTCCTGAACATAGATGAACGCAACAGATCAGGGAATCCCTCTAATCTATGTAAGGTGAAATTTCCCCGAGCATAGATTAGAGGGATTGTCTGTTCTTGGGCGTTCTTCTATGTTCGGGGAAATGTCCCTGAACACAGACATGTGCACCAGAGCAGGGAATTCCTTAAATCTATGTTCGGGAAAAATTTGCCCGAACATAGATTAGAAGGATTCCCTGCTCTGGTGCATTCGTCTATGTTCGGGGAAATTTCCCCGAACATAGACAAGAGCACCAGAGCAGGGAATCCCTTGACTCATCACTTACTGACCAATTCATTCTACGACCGGGTCGTAGGAACGGAACCCATTCAGTAAGGAGTAGCTGTATGGTATTTTTTAACATGTATCAATCTGCAAACTTTAATGCTAGTGAATTATATGTTTACTGATAAAATATTCATATAATCGAGGGCACCCATTGAATATTTTAAAAATGGACAAGTCCAAAAGCAGATTTTGCTAGTTCCTTGCTTGCATTCACTATATGGTTCCACTGAATTATGCTCTCTATGCCAACTCAATAAGATTTCTGAGAGGGTAAAATTTAACAATATTAAGGTGAGACTTCCTGCGTATCAGACATAATTAGGAGGGACTGTTAATAGGTTTTAAATGACTCTACTTTCAGTAAGAAGGATATGCAAATAGGAAATCCCCCAAAAGTTTTTATAAAATTTGGTACATATAATAATACAACATACCATATATGCAAGCAACTACTAACAGATTTCTGTGGAAATTATGTAAAATGTCTGGTAACCATCAGAATGCACATAAAATTGGAAACTGCACATATAAGATTCCTGCACTTTAAGACAGAAAACTAAATATAACTAGCTTTCTTTGTGTGTCCTTTTTGCTGTTCCGACTTTGTTCTCTGGTGTCCCATGTCCGGGGACACTGAGTAACTGACCCCAGCCAGCACCATATGAGCACATCCATCATTAGAGGCACTAGCATAGTACTGAAGTATCAAGCACTGTCTGCATGACATGCCTTTAGCGGGGCCGGATTGAGTGGCGGTCTGTCAGCCAGTTGTGCATTCAAACCAGGCGGATACTCCCCTTCCATGGCTGGCCCTGTCACCTTTCAAGGAACACAAAGTAATTCCACCAGCAACTCCCTTTTTCACATGGGTTACACATTTTTAAAATTTGTGAGCAGTTTAATTGTTTAACATGCATTGCATACTTGGATGTTCTGGCATATCCCAAGCATACTATATAAATCAATTTAGCCTCCATTGTGGAATCTGTGCTTGAACACCATTTGTGCTTTATACTTACCTCTCCTAAACTACTTACACCAGTAAACACTACAATAGCATTTACTACAGGGATAAGACAAGGGTCCATGACACCTTTCTTGTAACTTACCTGTGGGCATGGTTAATTTAGCCTCATTCATTCTGTGACCACACCTCGCACTTCTATTACTGACCCTGGTAAGCTTAACCCTAGATTCCGGTAACCCATCTCTTTCAACAGCTTCCAAAACGATTAAATGTGTTTTAAATAAGGAATGCAGTAGCCATTATGAATTAAAAACGCAAAAATAAAATTTTACTCTACTGGGATAGAGGCAGTTTGGACTTGAGCTATTTAGACAAAGGGGTGACTCGGTGTATACGTAGTGGGTTGTTTCTTACACAGTATCCCTAAATCTAGATTATATGCCTAAACATAACCATAAACCTATTCCTAACTCAACATCTAAATATTATTGTGTTTTGTAACCGAAACTACCATCCCTAATTCCAAATCCAAATGCAACGCCTGAATGTTATACCGAAATATGACACCTAACCATGAAATAAACGCTGTCCAGAAGTTTAAATAAAATCCATATCAATCAGCATAGATCAGTACGATGAAGACGGTATTGATGACCAATATATTCCTCTTGTTTCCTAAAAATATTTTCCAGACTAAAATTTACTGGGAGTACAAGCATTAGTGGATCATAGAATATATGTGCTGTTTTTCTCCATTTTCTTTTTCCTGGTAAAATGAGATAAGCAACAAAGTATCTTTGATGGTCAGTTTATATTCCGTGTGACTGAGCAATCATTGTTCCATTTTTGTTTAGCTCAGAAAAATGATCGTATTTATCATAGACCCCGCAGGTCTGAACATATGCTGGACATTTCTCTTTGTCTCTTTCATTCCTTTTCCTTCAGTATTTATTTACACTGTGCAAGGTTTCCTGTCTGTTCTTTACATAACGGTGTTCCTATATTTTCTTTTGAAGTCAATGCTTGCTCTTGCAATCAGCAGGAACCTCTTCCATTTTTAAACTTTCTCTTTTTATGTTAGAAGGCTCAACTGTCTCTTTAATATAAGTCTCTAATGATATAGATTATCACACTCCTGGTCAGAGGTCCTTATTTCACCAAATTTGCAGGTCTTTCCCATGGTTTTCAGTTCTCTGTCATAATTGTCGATTTTCTCTTCTGTAGTTTTATTCTTTATAAACAACTCACAGATCTACAGAGATTTACTTTTTTTTTCTTGGTGATTATCAGTTATTTTCTTACATCAACCTTGAGTTATTAAAATTAATAAATGGATGGATATTTTTTTACCTCTATGCGCAAATAGTACAAAGCCTTTATTTTATCTTTGGTTCTTGCCTCTTGCTTTGATTGTGATCCACAGAGCATGTGACTCTCTGATACTGGTTGAATAAGAAGCCTCTATTTGAGCTCCTGGTTTAGTGAAAAGTTCCACATTGATATGTAAGCTTGTCCATTTTTTTTGCTTACTTAATATTTGTATTTTTGGTATATTTTCCCAACTTGTGCATTTGATGGCTCCCGAATTGCGAATTTGACCAAATAATGTTAATTTTGTTCACAGATCATTGAGAAGTAAGCAACAGTAGGAAAAATGGCAATAAACAATATTATATTTATATGTTATACATGTAATAAATATGTATTTTGTACTACTCCTCCTGTTTTTTCTCTCTATTGATTACTTCTTCTTACTTGATAGGTGAAGATGACGGCGCGAAAATGTACCTACGTGTGTGTAGCAGAGCCTTCATCCTGACTAGCTCACCTCTTTCCCAGTAACTGGATGACACACAGTTCTGGGAGTACAACTAAACTTTATTCTGCAACACAGAGCTTTTTTGCACTGGCCCCTAGCATGGCATTTACACACCAAGAATACAGGAGCCTTTGTGTTTGAGAGATAATTGAGCTCAAATTAGGATAACTCAATTATCTCTCAATTATCTCTCAAATACATAAATTCATACAATATTTCTACAATACCCCAAAAATACATAAAAAACCGTACAGGAACCACACAAAAATCCCTGAATAGCTCTGATCTGAGCATCCAACATATCCAAAAAGCGCTAAGATTGGTTAATGGAACGGAATTGCTAATCAAGGAAAGTTTTGACCGACCAGCCACGAGGTGATAGCCCAGTTATAGAGAATTGACCAGGATGGCCAGTCGGGTTTCGGGGGTTCCTGTCCGAACACCAATGAACACTCTCTTGGGCTTTTAAGGAGTGAATGCTCCCCCCAGTCGGTAGATCATATCTTCCAAATGTTGTTCGCCTTGGTGGTCGGGAAGTTAACGTGGAGCGATAAGAACTCCGCCGGGTTCGCAAACTCACGTGGCCAAAAGTAGTTCCAGGCATTAAACCGTGTACCGCTGCCTGTGTTTGGGAGACAAAATGCTGCCATGCACTGGGCCATATGAATGGCGGCCACCCAGGGAAAGCACTTTAACTAATGTGTCAAGTTGTTAATTTGTGGTTAACAGCCAGGGGAGGTCGGTGTTCACTGAGGTATAAAAGGGGATCATTCACCAGTCATTCGGGAGACAAACAAGGGTACAGACAACAGAACACCACGGAATGAAGTCTGCTACAGTGTGTACTTCGAAATATATAAATAATATTTATAGTGCACTGATTGGCCCATATTCATGCCCTTTTGGTTTGTAGGAATTGTTTTCACAAATCATTTGCATGGAGGAAATTTGTGTAAATTTCAGACCATTTAAGCTACAATTTTTGGGGTATTTGAAACCATTCGGACAGACCAGATTTTAAAAAATTTCAAATTACCATCTTTTCCTCAGTGAATCCTAACAAGTCCAGGTTCACAAACCGTAAATGATGGAATTTGCTAATTCAAATATCCCTAATTTTGGGGGCGGACAAATGTGTCAATACACAGCAAACTTTATGAGGGAAGTTACCAATGGCAGATCCCCAGATCTACCCGTTCTTACAATGCTTTGGCAGCCTTAAGTCTAGCAATGCATTATGGAAGATGTAGTTTTGCAAGAGCTGTGGATTTACCATTGGTAGCAATATGAAATGTTCCACAAAAGGATACAGTAGCTGCAATTCTTTCCTTCTTTCCTCTTCATTCACAGTCCCGTGTGTAAACTCACAATTCTTTTGCAGTGAGCTGTGAATGAGCTTGTCAGTGTAAGCAGGTTATTGTAATTGCATGTGTGTATTACGTACAAATATCTGAATAGACAGAGGACAGAGAAGTATAGCTTTCTCATCTGATTTCTTGCGTTGAGGGGAAGGATTTGAGATGCTTGCCAATTGCTGTATTGCTAAGCAAATGTGTGCAGGGAAACAAGGACAGGGGCTTGTCTTTCTCCTTAACCTAAAAGTGGCTTGATGCTTAAAATTATCCTAAATGTACTTATTGTATTAAATAAATGCCGGCTTTTAATCTTAGTATTTTTTATATTACGTTTTCAATCTACTTTAAATAAAATCGAATGCACTTCCCATCTAATCGACCCTCTCAACCGAAGACTTTGACACATTGATAAGATTCATTTACACTTGGTGTACACTTAGTAAACAGAGTGTGTGTTTGTGTGTACTACTTTCCGTGTATGAAAGCTGATTTTCGAATAAATATATATTTGTATCAACTTGCATTGTTCTTGTACTGTGAAAAGGAAAAAAAAAGACAATCCGATGGAAATTTCAAATCGCAGAAATGAGCATGGTCTGCGTTCTTTCAGATTAAAAATGTGAGAATAGCACCACTGAGGGAATTTTTTAATGACTTGGGCACCTGGCGTGAAGGAGTGGGCACATGAAAAGGTCTGCAACAGAAGAGATAAGTGAAAGTCACAGAGTAGAAGTCTGCAGTGAATGAGCACTAAGTGCCAAGAGTGATGTAAATCTTGACGGTGATACTTAGATTTCATAATGTTCGTCAAGCAGGTAGAAGAGGCTGTGTGCTTAGCTGATAAGATTACTACAGCTGAGAAAATCCACCTGAAAGCTCTATTGATGTCTGCCTAGTCTTTCCTTAAAAACAGTTAAAGGTAGGAAGATTTACCATTAAAACCAGCATGTCATATTTATCATTAGAATCATTCTATACCATCTCTGGGAAGACTTCAAGCATCTGGAATCTTTAATGCATAGAGATAACAAGTCATGTCTGGGCAGCCAGCCTAGTTCTGTACATATACAGTTCTGGTATTAGCTGATTGTGCCGTGTTTAAGATTCAGAAAACATCAAGTTATATTTAACAATTGGCCTGCATTCAGCGGCATTCTGACTACAAACAAAGCTGACAGATATGGGATGATTATGTGGGTGCTGGAGATAAAATGGACCAATTTATTTAACTTAGAGCTTTTTACTGTCATCGAAACTAAACAAACTTGTATCCCTGCTTTTCACTGCAATGGAACGTATTTTATTAAACGCAGTAAATGTCACAAACCATGGGAAACAGCTTAACATGTATCTTTTGGAACAACCAAGAGTTGGTTTTAGGCTTTCAATAAAATTTGACCAGGTTGGTTTTTAAAACAAAGATTGCTAACTAAAAGCTTGATTCCGCTCTTGCCGGAAGCTCGTGAGAAATGTGCTTCTGGAACATTCTGAAAAGAACACTTTCATTTAATTTCTGAACTATGTTATTCCAGCCTCCTAAGGGCTCTCCAACTAAAGTAAAATGTTTCTCTAGTTCTGGTTCAGCAAGAACCTCTTGAAGAAAAAAAAGTCATCTAGGTTAAAAAAAATCACTGGTCTAATTTTTCTTGCGTCTCGTTCTACTATTTCAGAAGCCCTTAAGAGCTAAAAGAGATGTGAGAAGGTGTATATTGGGGCACGGTGAGAGCCTTTTGACGCACACATTTACACTTAACCTTTCTGGCTGTGACATAAAACTGGGCTGCACATTGTTAAGGCCTCTGCTAAGGTTAATAGATGTTTTTTTTAATATTCCTGATGTGCGTTTCCAGTAGTCAGTACATTGTTTTCACACTCTGTGTGCAGCAGTGGAAGTTACATATCCCACGATAAAAATATGCCCAAAATGTGCCCCATTGCCATTCTCCGTCCAATAAGATTGTTACTGTCCCATTTCTACTTTTGAGATGGTAACTATGTTTCTGGTCTCCCTGTACGCTTGTTTAAAGTGGAGACAGAGAACGACTGAAAACCCTTTAGAGACACTTGTGTTCTTGCTTTAATTTAACATAAAACAGCCTTTTATGTAATCCAAGCTGGTTCTAAAACCTAACAAATGACAATAAATATATATTAGAGCGCCTCCATTTTCTTTGTCCATGGAGCCATGGAGAATGGAAACCCAGTGATTGAATGAGGAAATGCATAGTCTCTTCTGACACCTGAGATTACTGTAAAATAGAATCAAAGGACCTAGAAGAAACAGATAATAGGGTTAAAGGAACGCTATAGCGTTTGGAATACAAATATAGTGTCCCTCTCTCTACCCACCCCCTCTACATTTACAGTTTACAGTAAAAATTAGAAAAATGATTTACCTTTTTTCAGCACTCCCCCAGTGCTGCGTAGCTCTTTACTTTGTGATGTCACATAATAGGCATGGCCTCCTCAGCCTCTGTCCAATGCAATGCTCCTCAAAAAGGAGAATTGGGAACTTAATGCACATGCATGAATAATGCTAGGAGCATTCACACTTCCCCACAGGAAAGCATTGAATCAATTTCCTATGGGGCTTCCAGGTCATGTGACTGAAGTTTTACTCAATCAGTGCAGCGGAAGCTCTTTTAGTGGCTGCCATATTTACAGCCACTAGAGGTGTACTTAACCCTGCAATATAAACATTGCAGTTTCTCAAAAACATCAGTATTTAACATTGCAGGGTTAAGCGGACAGGGACGCTGCACATAGACCTCTTCAATGAGATTAAAAGATCTGGGTGACTATAGTGTTCCTTTAATGAACATATATCTGAGAACCGTTACAAGGCCCAAAGCGTATTTGTATATCCATCTATCTTGTTTATAGCCAGGTTTTCTCTATTTGTAGATAATGGCTTTCTAACTCTTTCAAGACTGATATATCTTATTTTTTTCTAATTTCTTACGTAATTTTTTTTGATGATGGCACAGTGTACCTGCTTCTGGAGAACTTGTAGCCTGTTTCACAGGGAGGACGAGCAAGGATCTTAAACTACTAGTGGGAGAGTTACTGATATATAAATAAATAATAAACATGCATAAGTTAATAGGTTAACTGATAAATTTCTTTATTGTGTTTAAATGCATTTGGTGTGTTTAAAAAAAAAAAAAAAGTGTTGTGAATATGACAATACTCGAAATATGACCTATCTTTGGGGGGTCCGTTTCAGATAATGCTGTTACAGGGTAACTCCAACCAAAAACAGCATTTTAAAGAAAACCCTTGCAATTTCCCCTCTTTAAAAAATAAACAAAAAAAAAAAACTATAAATTTACCTGCAATCCCTGAGTGCTCCGTGAAGTCTGATCCATTTCCGTTGAAGTCACTCCTCACTGCAACAGTAGGGATATCCCAGATGACAGACTAAGTGGAGGACTTATGATAGCAGGGGAGATAGTTCAACTTTTCTACAATTATTTAAATCTTTGATCAAATGCCTTTGTTTAATCCTTAAAGGGACACTATAGTCACCTGAACAACTTTAGCTTAATGAAGCAGTTTTGGTGTATAGAACATGCCCCTGCAGCCTCAATGCTCAATCCTCTACCATTTAGGAGTTAAATCCCTTTGTTTATGAACTATAGTCACGCCTCCCTGCATGTGACTTGCACAGCCTTCCATAAACACTTCCTGTAAAGAGAGCCCTATTAAGGTTTTCTTTATTGCAAGTTCTGTTTAATTAAGATTTTCTTATCCCCTGCTATGTTAATAGCTTGCTAGACCCTGCAAGAGCCTCCTGTATGTGATTAAAGTTCAATTTAGAGATTGAGATACAATTATTTAAGGTAAATTACATCTGTTTGAAAGTGAAACCAGTTTTTTTTTCATGCAGGCTCTGTCAATCATAGCCAGGGGAGGTGTGGCTAGGGCTGCATAAACAGAAACAAAGTGATTTAACTCCTAAATGACAGTGAATTGAGCAGTGAAATTGCAGGGTAATGATCTATACACTAAAACTGCTTTATTTAGCTAAAGTAATTTAGGTGACTATAGTGTTCCTTTAAATCATTGCTTTAGGACATTGCTCTATGTCATTATTATTATTATTTTTATTATTTTATTATTTTTTCTTCTTTAACACATTTTGCAAAAGACAGGGTGCACATTTTTATAATGCATGTATAAAGTATTCAACATAAAATACAGGACATTATGAACAGTCTCTGTTGCTAAGGCAAATGTACATTGACCCATAGTTTTTTTTTATATGCAATTCTAACCACTGGTCCGCATGGAGACTATCACTTTTTTATTTTTACTTTTTGGTGATTTATAAATATTTTTTGCTGTTATTTCATTCATGTATTTATTATTTGAGCACTTGTCTAGTTCCATTAATTCCTTAAATAGGTTTTCTGGAAATTGTTGTTTAATCCCAGTATCTACAGCTTTGGGTTATCCCCATAATACAAGTCCTCTAAACATGACATGTGTTCCCCTCAAAAAGGGGGAACCAATTTCTATTTGTATCACTCCAAAAAAAACATGGAAACAGTGAGTAGCTGTAGAGTCAAATAAGCATCATAGCTTGATGTATTCAACAAAATAGGAAGAAAATGTGGTGGTGAGAAATTCCACAATTCATGACTCAATGCTCTCAGCCAATCAATGCCATCCAGGGTGGACAAAATTGACGTTGATAATGCGAAAATGTTAATTCCACATTATCAATGTGAACGTTCTTGAATTGTTTGATATGATTTTTGGGGGGGAAGGAGTGCCAGAGGACTCTACAGTGATTCCTAACACTAACTAGTTTTGCTATTCCTAAATGCTACCTCTACGTTAACCCTTGCTACTCCCAGTGTTCCGTTCTGAAGAATTTGACAAAGCAGAATTGGAGGCAGAGAGAAGCCGTGCTGGAGAGGAACCTTTGGATTACACCATTTGTGAACGGTTTAATCACTAAAGGTAACCTAGAGCCCAGGACCTCCTGGCAACATAGCAATTCCATTTTGATGAAGTTGTTATGGTGCCCAAACTATTCCTTTAACCTGTTCCTTTAATCTTGAATACTGTCTAAATAATTGCCACAACGCTGATCTCCAAATGCCACCTTTAACCTTAAATACTGCCCTAAAATTTAATGATCAATCGACCCCTATGCGTCTTATATCGATACAAAGGAACACTTGTCTAAATAACCTTCAGTTTTATCAAATCCTTTTCCAGCTTTATTTTGTGCAGTTGGCTAAATAAAGAAACTTGGGAATGCGCAGAAGATATGCCAAAACATTTCTTGTATCCCACTTCACTAGTCACCAAATCCCCTTTCCCTAGTGAGAGAAAAAAATACAACCATGTATCTGTTGTGAGCTTAGAGCAACTGGTTCTTTGGCAGTTACCTTGAATGTCATCTGCTTAAACACAAAATTAATATTCTCATTTCATAGTAAAAAAAAAAACACTTAACACTAGGAGGTCTAATAACGACACTTGCAAATCAATTCATGCATATTTATAAATATCCTACATCCATAGGTGTGTATATAAATTTAAAAACAACAACATGATAATATATAATTATAGTAAAACATGTAATGAAAAAAAATGCTTCACAACAAATGTATAATTTTCCTACAGGAAGAAATGACTTTGTAAAGATTTCTAAAGCAACTCACACTGAGAATATTCAGCTCAGCTTTAAGACGTCTAAACCTGGCCATACAAGAGATAGTATTATTCTTTGTGAAAAGTATCATTATTCATGTGATCCTAAGCTTTAGTTTGGCGGGCACACAAACATCCTTTAATATCCCAGGACTTGGCTCAAAACACTGTGCTAAGGTAGGGTTGTGTCTGTCTCTGTCAGATCACAAGCTGTGTATAACATACTGTAAGTCTAAGAATGCCAGTGTGAAGTGCAATGCTTGGACTGTTACTCAAAGTATATATATATATACACTGAGTTCAAAATATCCGCTCTCCAGTAGCCATTGGCTAGTGAATATTCACCCCGTATTGTCGAAATTCACCGCTGGACTGTGTGCCATGGACCCATCAGGATTGCAGTGGCGAGTAAGTTTAAACCTGGCTTTTAGCCTAAAAATTTGAATTTAACTTTACTGCTTACATGTCACAATTTAAAAAATATAATACAATATAATAATAAAAATATATATATATATATATATATATATATATATATATATCTAGTGTAAAACCAGTTTTATTATATATTTTTTAAATTGTGACATGTGAGCAGAAATGTTAAAGCTGTATGGTTTAGTATAGTACATCATCAAATTAAGATCCTAACCCCAAGGCTAAGCTTTTGATTGGTCAGTGGGCTTTGTTGTTAGAATGTTGAGAGCTCTGATCTAATTTCTTCTTTATGTCCCAGTTCTGTGCAGATGATATCCATTTTCATTACTGTGACGAGGAGTTACCTGCAGGATATATTATTTTTTCCGGGACTCTTTCTTCTGCAAACTGTATCTATTTCTGTAATGTCAAGAACTTCGTCTAGCCTGGATCGAAGTCAAAAATGAAAAGAGAAATTGTGGTTATAGTTCCACTAAAGAACACTTATCAAAACTTTGTACTGCTCACTTGAAAAGGGCAATTTTCACTTGCCAATTGTTTTGTCAATTATTCCAGTAGTAAATATATGGTTTTGAATAAAACAAATGTGATAAGTATGTGTAATTATATTATGTAACAGATAAAAATATTGATTTCTTTGAAATACCATTACAAACACTCTCAAAGTATGTCAAGATATTTTAAGTATGTGATTTCTGGTACTTTTTATATACTATATCTTCAGACATAATTAGAAAAATCTGATTAGTGTGCAACGTTACAAAACAAACAAAAATATATATATATATATATATATGTGTATATATATATACATATATATATTTTTTAAACTTACCTTTTCTCCAGTGCAGAGTCTCCATTGGTGCTGCCACCCACTCCTCATCATATGACTACGGCATGCCTCAGGAATATGGTCCAATCCAATACTCCTCATAGAGAACCGTAGGGGACCATGAACACATGCATGGTGCGAGGAGGCTTAAATCTATGTAGGGACAGAAGCACTATAGTTTTAGGAATACAGGTTTATATTCCTAACACTATAGTATTTCTTTAAAATTATTTTTTGTTTGTTTTTTTATTAAAATTGTCCTTTGTGCACAAATGCAATCACTGACACATGCAGACACACACACACTGGCACAAACACACATTTTTATTTTGTTTTGTTTTTTAATTAAAACTGTCCTTTGTGCCCAAATGCAATCACTGACACATACATACATACACACTCACAATCAGTGACCCATGCACAGATACATTCACTAACCGATGCAAACTGACACACACACTAACCTTTAAGGGCTGACACCCAAACTGACCCATACAGACACATACACACTGATTCATGCAGACACACAAACACACACACTGATCCATGCACACACACACACACACACTGATCCATGCAGACAAACACTGACCCATGCAGACACAGACACATTGATCCATGCAGACATACACACACACACTGACGCAAACACACTGTGACCCATGCATACATAAACACACTGACACAAATACACATTCTGACGCATGCAGACATACACACACTGACCCATGCAGACACACACACACACACACACACACACTGACACAAACACACTGACCCATGCAGGCAGACACAAAGAGGCACATTGACACATGCAGACACACACACACTGACCCATGCAGACTGACACACATTGGCCTTTGCAGACTGACACACACTAACACAAATGCACACACTGATCCATGCAGACAGACACAAACATGCACATTAACCCATGCAGGCACACACACTGACAGAAAAACACACACTCACCCATGCAGACAGATACAAACATGCACATTGACCCATGCAGACACACACACTGACACAAATACACACACTGACCCATGCAGACAGATACCAACATGCACATTGACACATGCAGACACTCACACTGACCCATGCAGACACACATACACACTGACCCATGCAGACAGATACAAAATGCACAGTGACACATGCAGACACACACACACTAACCAATTCAGACAAACACTGACATAAACACACACACTGACCCATGCAGTCACACACACACACTGACACAAACACACATACAGACCCATGAAGACACACACACTGACACAAACACAGACACACATTGACCTATGCAGACACACACATTCTCTGAAACACACACTTACCTTAATTACACTCTAGGCATCTTGTTATCCCACTTCAAGAACGTCAGGCATCACTCCCTGCATCAGCCCCACTTCCTTTTGTCACAGAGTACAGAGCAGGGGGCAAGAGCAAGGGAGAAGTGCACCCAGCGAAGACCCTACTGGGACTTTCTTCTGCCCTGCCCCACTTCCTTCCATAATTCCTCCCTTCCATGTCCCCACGCACAGTAAAGGGGGCGGGAGCACACGGACGCTGTACCCGCGTGCTACCTCAGTATGGGGATCAAGGGCAGACAGGCGCCGGCCAGCAGGTAATTCAGCACCGTGTAGTAACTAGGGATGTGCATGGGCAAAACATTTGGTTCGGTTCTGTTTCGGAAATTTGGGTAAGAAAAAAAATTTGTCACTTCAGCAATTTGGCGGTTTGGTTCGGCACTTCCGAAATTCGGCACTTCAGACATTTGGAAGCATCTGAATATCTGAATTGCCCGAATTTCATCAGAATTCACATTCAGAACTAAACGAATTGCACATGTCTAGTAGTAACAGCTGCGCCGCGGCCACTGGCACCTGGTTGCCATTCTAAAATTGACTGTTTCTGACCAGTTTTGCAACCCATTCATGGGCCTGTCTGGACGGTCCAGTCGCCCGGACAGACCCAGACTCCATTAGCTGGGAGGTTTGCTTGAGGCACCCCCAAGGAACTGGTGCCCTAAGCCACTGCCTAAGTGGCCTAATGGAAGCGCCGGCCCTGGTACCCTAGTACTCACTTGTCCACTCCTCCCTTTACCTTCTTACTAGCAGGCAGAAGCTTTTGTTATACAGTCTGGGACAGACTGAAGCAGCAAGAGCATTTGCATAGTGCACAAAGTCAGTTTTACATTAACTAATTTCATTGTCAGCCAGTCCACACACGTTTTGTTTCCCTACATCCACATGTGAGAAGTAGTGAGAAAAAAAACATTTTATTTTTTATTTTTTTTAAGCAATGGGCCTATTCCATGGGCATGGGCCTAGAGCTGCAGCTCCATCAGCCCCTGTGTTAATCCAGCCCTGGCTGTATACCAGCAGTACTGAAACTATGGAAGCAATGGCTGAGTGTGCATGTGCTCCTGCATCATTCTTCTGAAAAATCCTTAGTGAGCATGAGCACACACCGAACATTATGGGATGATAAAGTTGCTCCGAACACGGAACTTCTGCAAAGTTAAATGCTTTATATACTTGCCTCAGCCGCACCTCTCAGCCCAGTTAGGGCATCGATAGAGTTTTTCCAGAGAAGTGACAGATCTACTTTAATATGACATGTCTGTCGTGTAGTCATTCATTACCTGGTTTTGAAAATTATTAAAAATATTGTGACTTTGAAACAGTGCCTTCACTTGCTACAACTTTGAACATTCTTAACTGTAAACTTCTGACTTAGATTTGTTCTATATCCACGACTATTAAACCACCAAAGTAATTACAACTACTTATGAATAGTCATTTAATCTTTATGGTCTAATCTTCGCTGGAGATTGACTACCTTGCACTTGGTACCAAATGAAAAATCTTAAAGTTGTCTCCCATGCTTAAAAAGCACGTAAAATCTAGGAAATAGCACTACGTGTTAATTTGTTCAGATGGGGCACAAAGATCCATGGTTATAGTCCTATCATTATCTGTCCATGTATGAGAAAGATCTTGTTTCAATTTTATCTGTTGAAACAATATTTAAATAGCTTTAAATCTTGTAGGCTGACTTAGCATGTAAAGCATTATTGGAATGCTCCAACATTATTTGAAGCTTTAAGGTTTGTGAATGATAACGATATGGGGCACAAGGATTATAAAGTAATTTAAGATAACTAAACAGGCCTTGAACATTTCATTACTGTGGGAGACAGAATGTGTGCTAGCGATCCTGAATCTATACTAAACCAGAACATAATCAACTCATTAAGTACAGTAGATGGTAAGCCTGCAAATGTTATTAAGTAGGCTACTTTAAGTATTATAATTAAGCAATGATTTTTGCACTTATAATTTTCCTTAAGTCTTCTGACTTTCCTTGAGTATGCCAGTAAAGTTTAACAGTAAAGTAAATAGTGAAATATTGTAAGTCATATTTAAACTGCTACACTATAATAAAAAAAATCCTAATTTGTGAGTGTGGTTTTACACTGTTGCACTAATGTATCATAATTGTAAGAGTTTACAATTGGCCAACCTCTATCCTAGAGATAATTGGAAAATTATAATATCTAAAACAATAGTAAATGTACCTGTACATAGTAAACATACTGGATATGTGAGTGCTTCTTAATCCCTGACTCGGGATCTAAAATTGTCTTGCGATGATATTTTCAGCAGTTCCCCAAATCATTAGAAAAGGTAAATCATTATGGTCAGGCCTAAGGCAAATTCTCAAAAAAATGTATTTGCTGTAGTCATATCTTATAAATGGGAGAGTCTAATGAAGGCATTTTCCAGAATTTATTTTAGTACATTATTACAACTGAAAAGTGAGATACTGCAAATAATTTTATAATTTAATGGGTCACCTAGTTTAGGCTACTTATTTAAAGGGACACTCCACACCCCTAACACACTTCAGCCTGCTGAAGAGCTTTATGTGTTAAAAGTGTGTCCCTCTTTTTCAATTTATAAAAAGTTAAGATTTCCAACAATTAGCACTTTTATAAATTAATCTTGTTCGATCCATCTGGATGTCAATCAGACAATAGATCCTGTTGTTGTTTAGCTCAGTGGAGCTAAACTAATGAAGCAGACAATTTCTCCTGACTTAAACAGGCTTCTCATTGAACTCCATTTAAACATTCTGTGATAGGACAGCCACAGAGAGTCTGAGTTATAAGCAGTGAAAAAATGCATAATAATATACATGAATGTTTTTATTTGGGAATAAAGCTACTAAATAGTGATTTTTTTTGCCTTATTTGGGCAGTGGAGGGTCCCTTTAAGAAAAAAAAAGGTTAAGCATAAGCGTATGAAATAAAACATACAGTTAAAATGGCTAAAACGGTTTCTTATTGCCTTTTAGCTGTGTTTACTATAATAAACAGGGGGGGAAATTGCACCCCAAAACTATAAAATACAAATAAAAACATGATACTGGAGTTGTATTACTATAGATATTTGTTTAAGATATTCTATAACCATTTTTTTTTTAAATTCTTAATTTTTTGCCTCACTCCACTAGTGAGTATGCATCATATAGCAGGTAAACAGCAATAAAATATAATGAAACGAGCATGACATTCAGACAGTGTGTGTGAGTATGGAGTGGGGAGAGCATTTTTACAGTTATAGGCATGCAGGCCTTACAAGTCAGGGCAAAAAAAGG